ATATTGGCCAGGCTGGTCTTGAACTCCTGATTTCATGATCTGCCTGCCTCGGACTCCCAAAGTGCTGGGATTACAGGTGTGAGCCACCATGCCCAGACTGCTCATTTCTTAAAAAGTTTAACACAAACTTATTGTATGGCCCAACAGTCCCACTCCTAGGAATTTTTACAAGAGAAACAAAAACATATCTACAACATAAAGACACAGATGTGAATGTCCATGGGAGGATGATTCATCATAAACCAAACTGGAAACTTTCCAAATATCCATCAGCTGAAGAATTGACCAACAAAATGTGGTAAATCCATACAGCAAAATAATATTCAACAATTGAAATGAAAAAAACTACTGATTCAGACTACAACAGAGGTAAACTTCAAAAACACTATGCTATGTGAAGGAGGCCAGATATATAAAACAGCACGTCGTATGTATGATTCCATTTACATGAAGTGTTCAGGAAAGGCAATGTGTAGAGACAGAAACAGGTCAGCATTTGCCTAGGGCTGGGGGTGGGAGCCAGGATTTACTACAAACAGGCATGAGGATACATTTTGAGGTGACTAGAAATGCTCTAAAGCTGGATTATTTTATTTATACCTCAATAAAAACTATTTTAAAAAGTTAACAGCTCATAGTTTTCTAAATCACCAGTGAATGAAATTTCCATTTGTAAGCACTATTTTAAAAACATGGGTAAAGACAACACTCTGAGAGAAGAGGCTCCGGGGGGCTTTGAGAAGTTCATGCCAATGGTGAACCTGTGCTGGAACAGACTGCTACAAGAAACTGGCATAAACACCCAGACCAAAAAGTCTGCATTTCTCTGTTCTCACTTGTTCTTCCCAAGGTGAGAAAAGCCGGAGACCTGGACAAGCCTAAAATAAAATGTCATTCTTGAAACACAAGGCAGCTAACTCGTTTTTTTGCCTGGTGCCAGTGAATTTTGCCAGCATCATGTATTATTATAATTCAGGCTTGCCTTGTTCATCCTTAAGGGCCATCAAACAATACAGAATGAATGCACTGGCAGTACTTTCTTGTCAGGGATTGCACTGAAAGGTGCACGTGAAGCACCAACCTTATCCTCTCTGCATGAGCATCTTTTGTGTGCAAGGCAATGAGCCAGGCTTGTGGGCAGGAGGAGGTGACGCAGCCTCTGTGCTCAAGGAATGTGTAAGCTGGCTAGAAAAACAAGCTGAGAAATGGTCATTAGGAAACAAGTAGTAAATGTTAAAGAAAAATGTTGTGAAATCAAGTTGAAAACTTCAAAATGTAACACAAAGGAGTTGCACTACAATATGGTTTTGAGTTGCTTCCAGGTTGAATATTCTACCATTTTTTTTTTTGAGATAAATCTTGGTTGTTTGCATAGGCTACATAGCCTGTATAGCCACATGGAGGCTGTGGCTGGGTAACTTAAGGATTTGTTATGTTTCCGTAACAACTACTTATTTAGTGATGCCTTTTGGTCTGTTTCATAAATTGCATGAATTACAAGATTGTTTCATTTCTAAGTCAAGATCTCATCGTAAAGCTGAGCCAAGTGTGTGTGTGTGTGTGTGTGTGTGTGTGTGTGTGTGCAGCTGCAATATGTTCTGTCTCCCTCTCTCTTATCTTTTCTTCCTGTATGTCCTCAGTTCTGCATGGCAATGCTGATATTATGAGAAGTCAAGTCATTATATTATAACTAAAAAGGGAACAAGGTATATTTCCTGGGGCCATGCATACGTAGCTTACCCTGGCCTACTAAAGCAAAGCAGAGGTCCTTCGCAAGTGGTGCTAGGTCTTGTACTTGAGTTTCCAGACAAAATCCAGATCTGTTAAGCAAAGGCAGACAAACTGTCATGTGTCCGGACACTCTTGGTCCACAGCCATGGTGAAGGGAATGGCCTCATTAGTGATTCCTCTCCTATTGAAAAGTCACCCCTGACTTTCAAATAAACTTAGGAACTGCACACATTAATTAAGGCAGCCTAGAATTTTGCAGATAAATTTTCATTCCGTTTATATAGAGTTTCTATATTCTTTAAAACAGCAATTTGCAGAGAAATGAGTCATTGTTTAACATAAGGTCAGGATTGAGGTCCGGGTATGAAATGATGCGAATTAGAATAACATCTTCCCCATCTGCTCTCTCTGACTCCCATCTCATCGTATTTATAGACCTCCACAGAAATGTAAGTGGCAACATCATATCTAGGCATTGCTAAATCAATCTTTTGTATGTGTGAATGCTCCTGGGCCTGAGAGATTCCATAACCACACTCCTGCTTTTTTTTTTTTTTTTTATTTGCACCTGCACCAGCCAAAGATATTTCCAGAAATACAACTCAATCCTGCTTCCAAGGCCTAACGCATACTTGGCCCACCCTGTTTCCACCCCCTGGGATGCCATAGCCTTTACCCACGTCCTAAATTACATTATAAGTTTTACTTCATCAGAAACATTATCCTGGCCTCCTTTTAGCAATCTTGTCTTGAAATGCAATTCAGTGCAAAATATTATAATGTTATAAAAATGATGGTTACTCAACTGCTTAACTCTCAGGAGAAAAAAACCAAGTTAGATTTTTTTATTCGCATGACATGCCAAAAAATACTCAAGTGGATAAAAGCTTTAAATGTAAAAGTACAACAAAAAATAAAAATCGTGAAAGGAAAGGTAGGTAAATATTTGATTTATAGACAGAGAGGCCCTATCTAAGGTTAAAATCAATAGAGGAAACCATCAAGGAAAATATTGGATTGACTACATAAACAGTAAAATCTCCTACGTATAAAGATAATCATTAAGAAAATTAAAGAGTAAACACTAAGCTAGGAAAAATATTTGTGACAAATATCAATAAAAAAGTTAATGTTCTGATATTGAGAACTTATCTAAATCGCTATGGAAAATGGTAACGTTTCTATAAAAATGATATCCCAAAGGGCATAAACAAGTTATTATACAAAGCCAATTTATAAATGACAATTTAAAAATGCTGAAGTCTTTAATCTCATTTTAGGTGAAAAATAAAAATTAACACAATGGTCAGATGTGATTTTTTTTTAAAGATTTGTAAGTAGGATAGTAACTTCCCAGTGCAGAAGTCAAGGCAGAGAGCGCTGCAGTTAATGGTGCCAAGCGCCACAGCGAGTGCACAGAATAGAACTGAAGCACGCTGCGGGGCTCAGAGCACCTATTAAATCTGTGTGAGGGGAAAACAAGGCGGGATGCCAGCTGGAGAGATGGGGAAGAATGCAGGGTTGCATGAGTGGTGTGGTGTTGTTGGGGTTGTTAAGGTCTAGGCATATTCCACCAGAGTCAGGAGGAAACCACCATGTGCTGGGGATTAGGGTAATGATATAAAGGAAAGGCCGAGATCGTTTCTGCCCTGAACCAAATTTAAAATGTTACGGGAAACACAGCAACACTCAATTAGTGACCTTCTTTTCTATCAACTTCTTCTAAACTTATCTTCACAAAATGTAATATGTCAACTGAATGGCAGCCAGCAGCAGATGCCTGGACATCTGAAACGTGAGCCGAGAGCACACCCCAGCTCAGATAATGTCATTGTCAAAGAGGTGCTGTCCTCTGTCACATCCAGTCACACCTCAACTGTTCTGTTCTGGACCCATTAAATGCTCTCCATCCCCAGCTGCCCTGGATCCCTGCCAGGACAATATTGTCATCCTAAGGCTCTGTCTGACACATTGATCTGTGCTCCCGACAGAAAAGTGGCGTCCACTTAAAGGACAAATAGACACAAATCTGCTCACTTCCAGTGTGCCCGCCATGATTTCTGCATGCTTTCTTGGTGCTAACGCGAACCTAGTAATGCAGCCAGACTGTGACACAGCAGGCAGGTAGGCCAGATGTGGGTATAGGCAGCTGCAACTTCCGTTCTATTGTGATGCTTCTGAGTACCTGTAATAGTCATTTGCGTGCTGCTCTTGGTACTGACATTGGGGTGTAGTTGCGGAGTGTGTTTTTCCTCCCCATGTAAATAGTTGACCCTTGTAAGGAGGAGAGATTAAACCTGCTTCTGCATATGCCCCTCAGATTCCAGCACATTTTACATAATGTTTTATACAGTCCATACCCCTTCCCCCTTTTTTCTGCTTTGAATCCAAACATGATGTATGAAACTCGAAGCCCACCTTGGGACCACAAGGTTACAAGAATGAGGGAAAGGTCAAGAGCCTCCCCAGGTTGCTGACCATGACATCATCAAGCAGCCAGTGGAGGCAATAATTTATATTATGAGAGAGAAATAATTTTTTGGCTTAAGCCACTTATAAGTCAGGTTTTCTGTTTCCTGCAATTAAATGTAATCTACCCAGGCAGCATCCACTCCCATGACGTCTACATTAGAAGAACCCCAATTTTTTCAACCCTCCATGCCTTTCTCACTCAGCTAGGTGCCTCAGGTGAAACTGACCCCATCTCTAGGTTGAGGGTGGCATTGATGGCCAAGGGTAATTTAATTTCATTTCCCATGCCAGTGTTGAATTAAGAAAACAATGAAGCATAGAGTGAGGATGAAACCTGATGGGCATCAGGGACAAGGTTCCCATGATACAGCAGCAGAAAGAGTGTCTCTCTCTCGCTCCTGTGGATATTTCGATACAGATCACGGTTTAGCCTAAAACGTGTCCAGGTTTGCTATGTGAAACTGTTGCATCCTACTTCCCTGAGGACGAGGCTGACACAGAAGATGGTGGGGTGAAGAGGCAAAAATAACCTGGATCTTGTTGACATTCTTGCTGTGCTGAATCAGCCAGCCTTGATGCCTGCTTTGCCCCTGTATTTTCTGTTCTCAAGCAATGTAAATTTATTTTTTTTTATTTCTTTTTGAGACAGGGTCTTACTCCACCCAGGCTGGAGTGCCATGGTATAATCACAGCTCACTGCAGCCTCAACGGAAACTCCCACCTCAGCCTTCCAAGTAGTTGGGATCACAGGCGTGCACCACCAAGCACAGACAATTTTTCAATTTTTTGTAGGGATGGGGGTCTCCCTGTGTTGCCAAGGCTGGTCTCAACCTCCTAGGCTCAAGCAGTCCTCCCGCCTTGGCCTCCCAAAGTGCTGGGATTACAAGCATGAGCCACAACAACCCGCCAAATTCTTTATTTTTAATCCAGTTTGAGTTGAAGTTTTTGTTACTCATCGCTGAAAGCATCTTTACAAAAACTGAAGATATTTCTTCTCCCTTGAAAATAGAAGCTTTCGATACAGATCACGGCTTAGCCTAAAACGTGTCCTGAAGCAAGTGTTTGCTACCCTGGTCAATCTGACCCAACTAGAAGAATGCCCTGATTTATTAAACTTGTGTCCCTAAGTAGGGTACAGAAATCGAGCCAATAATCAGATTATCTTTTCCCTCATGGGATCTTAGGGTAAATGAGCCAATGAAAAATAATATTCTCACTTCCAATAAGACTTGAGAAAGACAGAACAGTGGATTATTTCATGACAGGAGCTGGGGCTGCTGCAGTTGGTGTTTCATAGGCTGATGCCCTCTGTGACCTCCAACCCTCTCCCAGTCCCCTCTGGGATCATAAAGGTGGAGATGCCTGTGCATGGTCTGTGGTTGGCAGGAGCCATTATTTCTGTGTCTCTGAATAACTGTCCCAAGAAGGGGAATGCCTTCAGATGTTGCAGGTTCATTAGGCTGTAAAAAGGACTTAAAACTATGTGTTTAATGGATAAGTGAAGGGGGCTAAGCAAGTGGCTTAGCTCATTATCTTAGAAATGCCAAAACAGCATTTTTATTTCTTCTTCCCTCCCCTCATCCCAGTTATTCTTTTTCTAACTGCTCATTGCTGAATATGGTTGAACTATGCAGGTGGTCCAGGGAGACTTGGAGTAGCCTGTCTGAGGTCACTGAATTATCCAGAAACACGTCCTCAAAACCAGAGCCAATACTATAAGCACAGAATATTTTTAGAAGCTGTGGGATAGAGGAGGGCCCTTCCCAAAATATTGCTTGGGGACCCAGAATTTAAACGTTCACCATTGGCTCCAGACATGGAGACTGTGCCACATGCTTCTGAAAAGATGGCCGCGTGAGTCTTTCATCATTGCTTTTGATACAGAAGGGGGGCAGGGAGGTGCTGTGTAGAGAAGGGCGGTGACCCTGGTGAGGGCTCCACCCTCCCATGGACCTAAGTGAGGACAGGCACTCCTGTTTACATGCCCAAATGTTGCATTTTCCAAGACCACCCTGGCCCACCATGCCCCCCAGTCCTGTGCCCACAAAAACCCGAGAGACCCTAGTGGGCACACACACAAGCAGCTGGATGTTGAGAGGAACACACTGGCAGAAAAACACGCCAACAAACAATGGCAGGCCATCAATGGTGGAACCACGCAGATGCCCAGTGGCCCAACTCCAGGGAAGACCCCTTCCCACTCCATCCCCCTCTGGCTTCCCATCCATCTGCTGAGAGCTACTTCCACCACTCAATAAAACCTCGCACTCGTCCTCCAAGCCAATGTATGGTCAGATTTTTCCAGTACACTAGGCAAGAACCCCAGGATATAGAAAGCCCTCTGTCCTTGCGATAAGGCAGAGGGTCTAATTGAGCTGATGAACACAAGCCGCATGCGGATGGCTGAGCTGAAAGAACACACTGTAACACACAACCACTGGGGCTTCAGGGACTGTAAACACTCAACCTTAGACGCTGCCATGGGGTTGCAGCCCACGCTCCCCACAACCTACCAGTTTGCATGCTTGTCCTAGGGGTTTGAGCTGCAGGGCACTGAAGAAGGGAGCCACTCCCCTGTCACGCCCTGCGAGGGGGTGAAGGGAAATTTTCACTATGACAAATACTTCAAAAATGAACTTGCAGTATTTCAGAGGTGTAGCCATGTCTCTCACCTGCTCACGGTGAACCCGGAGTGTATGCTCCTAGATAAAGCCATCAAATGCCCACCTTGCCTTTGAGGTTCTCTAGAAGATACGTCTTCTTAAAGGGCTGAATTCTGGTATTTACTTTAATTTTCTACTTGCTTAATAACCAGTATTATAACCAAACATGTATTCTGACTTTCAACACTGAATGTTCTCTATCCCAGATGATTTAAACATTTTCACCTTTTGTGAGATGTGTTCATCTTCTGTGAATGCCCAGAGTCCAACACCGTGAAGCATAGTCAAACGCTCAGTACATGCTTGAGGAATAATTGGATGAATTGCATGGATGCCTGTGGTGGGAACAGACAGCAGGTTCCTTTTTAATATGTATGTTCTGCACATTTAAGGCAATGTATCTGATGGAGATTCTAGCTTACAAATTTAATAAGAAACACTATAGTGATGGGCGGCGGGGCAAGGGTTTCCGAATGCTGAAACTAGAAAGGTTTTCAGCCTCAGCTGTATCATTGTAAATAAACACTACTGTTTGTTGTTTGTCCTGAAGATAAGACTGGCTGGCATGGTGTTAGGTGCTACATACATGACAGCGTTTGTTCTTACAATGACCTTATACTATATATATATATATTGCTGTAATTCTTATTCTAAATAATGAAGAAGGTATTTTTTTGTAGTCACACAGCTAGAAGTGTTGTATGGACATGCCTGACACTTTATAACCATGTTAATATGCCCAGGGTACCTTCAGGAAATTTATCAGATCTGGTTCCTGTGCAGTGGTTTATGCCTGTAATCCCAGCACCTTGGAAGGCTGAGATGGGAGGATCACTTAAGCTCAGGTGTTTGAGACAAGCCTGGGCAACAAAGCAAGACCCCATCTCTATGAAAAATAAAGAACTAGCCAGGCATGGTGGCTCACACTTGTAGTCCCAGCTACTTGGAAGGCTGAAGCAGGAAGATCACTTGAGCCCGGGAGGTTGAGGCTGCAGTGAGCTGTGATCTCACCACTGCACTCCAGCATGGGAGACACAGTGGACCCTGTATCTAAGAATAAATCAATATATAAAATAAAAACTAAACTTATTAGATCTGAAAGAGGACACAGAGTAAAGAGAGTTTGAAACCAGGGAGATGCAATCCTCCCACCTCAGCCTCCCAAGTAGCTGGGACTACAGGTGCTTGCCATCACACCCAGCTAATTCTTGCATTTTTAGTAAAAATGGGGTTTTGCCATGTTGGCCTGGCTGGTTTTGTACTCCCTGCCTCAAGTGATATGCCTGCCTCGGCCTCCCAAAGTGCTGAAATTGTAGACGTAAGCCACCATGACTGGCGAAGAGCAACTTTTTTTTTTTTTTTTTGAGACATCTTGCTCTGTCACCCAGGCTGGACTGCGATGGCGTGATCATGGCTCACTGCGGCCTTGACCTCCTGGGCTCAAGTAATCCTCCAACCTCAGCCTCCCAAAATCCTAGGATTATAGGCATAAGTCACTGTACCCAGCCATGACAGCAATTTTATCTAATCTTCGTAACTCTGACTAAACAGGTTTGCTCAATAGACCTTGTGCTATGACTTTTTCTTTCCTAATGCCCGTCTGTCTTGCTACCATAAGACTAAATCCTCCTTTCCCATTAACGTTAGCTCAAATCCTATTCACCATTCTGACCTGACATGATAATTCTAATAGTGTCATTGAGACCTTACTATGTGCTAGACTCTGTAATAAACACTTTATTACTTAATTGCCAAAGCAATGCTATATAGGAGAAACTATTATTAATCTCATCTTATAGATAAGAAAAGTAAGTTATGAGCAGTTAAATAACATTCCCATGCTCACCTAGCAAGGAAGAAGTAGAAGAGGAGGAATCTCTATTTTTTTAACAGAAAAAAGCCTGGAAATAAGTAATAAATTAAGAGAGGCTAGCTCTAGATGCTAGAGAAATATATGGTTTTTATTTTCTTCTTTATAGCTTCCATTTTTTCTACAATAAGCATGCGTTACTTTTATAATAAGACAACCAAAAAAGCATTCTCTACCAAAAGGTATTAAGACTCTTTGGTGGAAGTGGCTAGGTTTATATCTAGGGCAGGTAGGGTACAGGCGAGTCGTCACATCTTATTGTTCCAGAAATTAAGGAAATACTCAAGAACCAATGGGATCATATCAAAATATTACAGGAACCAGCTCAAAGGGCCCCCAAAAAAAATAATGAGTACAATGAATGCCAACATATTGGCTAATATTAATAGAAACAATGAAAGAAAACATGCTGGATAAGAAATTGTGAACATAGATAGAAAAATAACCATTTGCAACCCCAATGTAATAACTGATTAAGGCAAGAAGGGATCAATGAATGCCATTAATAAAACTACTTACTAGGTAACAGGTGACAGGCTGCAGAGAGACCAGATAATATTGTACAGAATACTTATTTATTGCAAAGAGAAAGACTTTTCTATAACAAGGAGGAGATATGGCAGATCCTATCTTTGCCAGATATCTAAAAGTGACACACACACACACACACATATATATATATATATATATGCACATATATATAATTTTTTTTTTTCTGAGACAGAGTCTCACTGTGTCACCTAGGCTGGAGTGCAGTGGCCTGATCAAGGCTCACAGCAGCCTCCACCTGCTGGGCTAAATCAATCCTTCCACCCCAGCCTAGCATGGAGCTGGGACTACAGGTATGCACCACCACACCCGACTAATTTTTATATCTTTTGTAGAGGTGAGGTTTCACCATGTTGCCCAGGCTGGTCTCTACCTCCTGGGTTCAAGAAATCCCCCTTTCTTGGCCTCCAAAGCGCTGGAATTACAGGCATAAGCCACCACACCCCAGCCAAAAAATAAAAAGAATATTATTCACTTAAACATTGCAAGAAAAGGCTAAAGAGTAGAAAGCAGTTGTCACTGGGGAACAGGCATCAGAAGAGGTGAGGAGCAGAAATGAGCTTTGTTTTTTTTCATTTATAAGTCCCTAAATACAAATCAATTTTAAGTATGTGCATATGGTATTTCTTTTTAAAAAGGTAGTAAGAAAAGAGCAGTGATAGATATTCTGTAAATCAAGAGAACACAGCTTTAGGAGAATAAAGGAAAGTTAGCTGAAACCTTGCA